TTATTACTATTATTATTACAAGACATCTTTCCCGCCTACCACCGGGTACCCAATCCCACTTCGATGAAGTGAGGACAAGTCATACAACATACCTCTACCAAGGACACAATTTCGGCCCCACGGCAGGGTTCAAACCCATGACCCTTCAGTAACAAAGCACACACGGTACTTCTGTCTTGCAAACTACTCCAAATCAGTCTTGAATTCTGTACTCCAAATTATACATCTAGGGTATTGAGAGATCTAGATCTAGCGTCTTGCTCCAAAAAAAAAACCCAAAAAAAACTACGCACCAAATACGCGCCAAAATTTGGAAAACGTCAATACAACTAGGCCTAAGTAAACATTTTGCGAGTCTAAACGAACACCATGTGTTCGGGATATGACTATACCAAATTAAATGTTTTTAGAAAAAGTCAATACAATGAAGTTTGGCCTGAAGTATCCATCAACACTGTGAAGCACACATCCAAACAGAGCTGATGTCGAGATTCTAGTTCTGGAAGTAGAAGAAGCAGCTGTCTCACATGCACGAAGAAACACAAATCGAAACGGAAGTAGTCCCCGGTAAAATATGAAATGGCTAATGGCAGAGTGAAAATATATGAGAGCTTCGATGTATAAGAAAACCATCAAACCTGAGAAATCAAAAGGTAGCTTCCGAATTTGAAAATATACCCACGTAACCCTTTGGGACAATTCTTGTCTGAATCATATTTTTGTAAGATTTTATGGGCACCTGTGTAAAAAGTGTATACTGACCCCACAAACGGGCTTAGCTCCATTATAATAAGATTATTATTATTTATTATTAGCTGCTCCTAATCCATGTCAAGTCCTGAAATGCTATGTTTGGTCAACCCTTCTATATGGCTGTGAACGCTGGACAATCACTAAAGACAGTGGAAATAAAATAGAAGCAACGGAAAAGTGGTTTCTTAGGAGACTGCTAAGACTCTTAGTTAGAGTATCGTGGAAGGAAAAGAAATGAAATGAGGTAGTGCTTGACGAAGCCCATGTGGGACGCTCAATGTTAAAAACAATCAGGAAACGACAAATGCAGTTTTGGGGA